TTGAAACCCATTGTTGGTAGTTGCATGGGAATCGAATCAGAAGCCAGGGTTTCCGAACGGTGGTGCGAAATGGATTTCGCAAGCATTCCATTTTTTCACTTCCTCTGATCTTCAAGAAATGGATTTCACAAGCATCCACCGTGTGATTGCCTGGGGTTTTGTTCACGTCCCCTAAGCTTCAAACAGTCCGCCTTCGGGGCAACTCCGTGAACCAAAAGCAATCGACTCGCTAGGCTGGGCTGGGCCACTTTGGCCCGGTGCATGGGCTGCTGTCCCTGCCGAGGAGCGCAAAACCGGTGATCTGATGGGTGTCCTTTTTAGGTGAGCCTGGCTAAAAATAGATGGCCCTGGGGATGGGTTTTGTTCCATTTACCCGGCCATCTATTTTTTTCAAAAGGCCACCTATGCCGGAGATCTGATTGGAAGTGGCCGAAAATGGGATCCGGAGCTCCAGGAGCTCAAGTCCTCTTTCGCAGAAGGCTGCGGGCTCTTACTTGGGGGTTCGATTCGCCAACTTAAGTTGTTGGTTAGCATTCGGTACCTCACCCACAAGTCCCCCATTGCGCGCCGACAGCTGAAAGCTGTGGGCTCTCAGTCTGTGTTCAAACAGGCCTTTTTCGGTGGTGGTTTGGGTTGTGCAGAGGGAGGGTTTGGAGGGTTCGTTTGGAGGTTAAGGGGTGGGGTCCCATCTGCCCTCTACAGAGTCAGGGGGTCAAATCACCAAAACCACCAATCCACTAAGTAAGGGTTACCTGAAAATTGGATATACAGACTTTGCCTTGGGGGTTCAACCCAAAAAACAACAAACGTATCTTGGGATCAACCCAAAAAGAAACCTTGGGACGAACCCCAAAATGAAGCCAGCAACGTCTTAGGCCATGAAACCAGAAGACATCTTGGTTACAAATGTGTAGTCCCCTAAACCTGTTGTCTCCCTTCAACTACCACAAGTAGCTAAGGGTTAGTCAACAATTGGATACACAGACGGTGGCTTCGGGGTAATTAGGATCAACCCCAAAAAGCAACACACGTATCTTGGGATCAACCCAACAAAAAACTCTCTCTCTCTCTCTCTCTCTCCCACTTTTTTCTTCGCCGGCGAACTCGCCATCCCCCACACCTGAAGGCCATTATTTTAGCATGTCTTCTTAGGTTTTTAAGGGGAACCCTTAAGAGAAAACCCGCCAACATTTGGTCCCTTTAAGACAACCCATTGGATATGTCTGTTTTTAGGGGACTCCCCCCAAAAAATGGCTGGTTTCTTTCTGGTTCCCTTTAAAAGCAACCAAAAAGGGGGTACCGAGCCTCAAAACAAATTGACGAACCCATGCGCCAGGATCGGCAAAGGTGCCTTTGCCACCGTGTCCGAGGACGGAGCCTTGCCCGTGACTGGTGAGCCTTTCCTTTCTTCCATTTGCTGAAAAGACTATTTGTCATTTTCTCCCTTCTTGGCTTTTAAAGGGAACCTACTGTGGATGGACGAAATCCTGCACCACTTTGCGACCATGGCAAGCCATTGTTGGTTGGTATTTACAGGGGATCATCATTCCAGGGTTTCTGAGCGGTGGTGCGAAATGGATTGCGTCCATCCACAGTATCACTACTGGAATTATTTGATTTTTCCCAGGGGGTATCAGCAAATGGAAGCTTTGCGTGCCGATGGAAAGCCGCCAACTGGTGGACCCTTGCCAGCAGCTTGCAGCTGAAAGTCATGGGAGATCTTTGCAGCCTAGGTTGAGGGTTGAATGACCCAAGCCGGGTCGACCTTTGGTGATTTTACCTTGACCAAATGGGAGATTGAAGCAAACACTTCAAATTGGTTGAGTTGAGGGCATGACCAAGTTATGCGGATGGTCACAGACCTCGTGTTTGGGCGCATAAGCGGGTGTCTTTTTAGGATTTGGAACCCCCCCCCAAAAAAAAGAAGAGGCTTCGGTTGTCCTGTTGGTTCTTGGTTTCCTTCAAAGGGCCCCCACCGAATCGAGGCAAGGCTGAGGGTTGTTCTTTTCTCTACCTTCGGCACCACGCGGGCGGATCTGCTCAAAATCAGCCCCTCTTTTGGACCTGGACCAAGGTGCTCACAAAGTGTTTTTTTCCTCGAAAGGGACGCATCACCACGGCCGACAAAAGGAGGTCTGGCCACGCACACACACACACACACATGGTGTTTGTCAAACCGGATCCGTTTTCCCTGGATTTCTTGGGTTTTTTGAGAACAAAAGGATTGGAACCAATGGTTGCGAGGTGCCTTGGAGCCAAAAAAAACGGGGCCCCCGTCTTTTTTTTTCTTCTTTCTCTTCGGGTCTCCAGAGCCCAGTTTTTCTACCCGCCGGCGGCCGATTTTTTTTTCCAGGACGGGTGCCTCAAGGTCCACGGCCTCGATGGGAACTTGCTCCACAGCGACACCTTGCTCGGGAACCCGAGCTCGGGGAACCGGAACCCGCGCTCGCTCCCTCGAGCCTTGATTGCGGAAGAAGAAGAACAAATCGCACAGAGCAGAGGCGCCTTTGAAAGCCCTTTGAGAGGTGGCGCGTCTTTTTGAGTTGGTGCCCCTTTTCTTGGCCTTCTATTTTGGCGAATCGTGGGGTTCTTGAAGGGTTTTGAACGTGTTTTTAGTTGGTTTAGTGGTTAGGTGTCCGTTTAGCCCGCCAGTTGGGGATCTGAGGACAGCCCGGGTTTTGAGCGGGTTCAATAACCACCGTTTGTTGGGGACCGAAACCTAAGACACACCCAAGTGGGAACCGCGGATGAATCTTTTGATGGTTCCCACTACCTTGGTGATCCCCCCCCCATCTTGATGACTGCGAGGAAGGAGGGCGCCGAACTTGCAAGGGCCGTCTCGGACGTATTCCCTTTGTGGGTACAATGGAAATCATCGAGTTGGATCTTTAGAAGTCGTTTCCGGGTGAAGTTCAAATTCCCAAACATGTGTTTGTTAAAGAGTCCACCCCAGATTCCAGGTTCGGGAGTCCAACTTGATTTCCAGGTTTGGATTCTACCAGCAAGAGGAACTCACCAGTAAATAGCAGCACGGCAAAGAGGAACTCCAGCAACCAGTGTCTTGGTGCTTAAAAGACCCCGGCACCGTTGTCGTTCTTTGTGGTTGTCCTAATGGTACCAGTCATCCCCTCGAATTTGTTGGAAGGACCGTCTCAGTTGCGGTCGGTCGAAGATCTCAACCGGCAGGGACAGCGCTTTTCCTTTGGCTTTCCCAGTGCTTTCAGTTCACGCTATATAGTTAACCAGGGTCTTCTACCTTAGGGCTCACATAATGGCATACTTGTTATAGTAGCAACTGAAGGCACTGGCCTTGCTTGGCTCAGGTCATAGTGTTCGGGAGCTTTGTCGCACGGACAAGCCTGTGGCTGATTGCGATCGCTCAACCACAGCACCGCGGCAAAGCTGCGCATTCCTGTGTGGTAGTTTCTCATCCAGAGCAACCATCTTTTTTCAAGATGTGGCTGTGGCTCAAAAAACCGGTACCAAAGTGGAAAAATGGGCCAACACCTGCGTGCCCCCCTGTTTGATTTTGAGCCACACCCATGTGGAAACTACCATGCTGGCGAATCGTCTGCTATCCCGCACCTCCGGAGAAAAAAGTCGGTTTGCTTGCGCAGCAAGGCGCTCACTTTGCGAGCGCCATGGGTGTCCTTTTTGGTTGTTTTGGTAGAACAATAGATGGCGATCCCTGGTTTACCTGGTGGTTTGATGATCTACCAGGGCCATCTGTTTCCCCTAATAGAACACCTAAGGCGAGCGCTCGGTTCTGGTTTAAGTCGGTGCTGTTCTCGCACGCAGAGGCTTGAAGATGACATGCTGTCCGACAGAGGTGCCAGCCCACTGTTTGCTCGTTGCGCTCTGGTTTCCTTATTGGAGACGAAGCTCGCATACCACTAATCCCATGTGTGTTGGTATTCACAAAAAAACATACAAATATATATACGTATATGCATATTAGAAAGTATGCATATGTAATATATATATATATATATATATAAATATCATTATGCATGCAAATGCATGTATTCATACATGTTTCCTTTAATTGGTAGCGAATATATATATATATATATATATACACATGCAACAAAAACACTTCGGCCCCTCGCAGCCCATGCTTTTGGCTGTCCAGGTACTGTCTGATGGCCAGGACATGCGCCAGCTCGCGGAGCAGGCGGTTTGAGCCGATGGCATCGGTGCAGATGTGTCTTTTGGAGAAGGCCCTGGTCAGAAAGAGAGAAACCAAAGGGAAACCGAGGGGGTAAGGCAGCTGCACCAGGTGGTGGTTTACCGTTGTATTTTATCTATTTTTAAAAGGGATCCATCCATTCCAACTAGTTGTGGTGAGAGGTTTAACGATTTCATGTAATTTTGAGACAAAGCTTTTGGCTACAGCTTGAACGCAAGGGGAGGCCCCCCTTTTTTTAGTGGGGACTCTTAGTTTGACTAGTGGGGCTTAATAGGGGTTGCTGGGGCTCCTTTTATGCGCTTTTTTTTGGGGGGGGGGGGATTTCATCCATCCACAGTAGGTCTAATAGTATTCGTCCCCAGCAGTCATCATTTTCAGCCGTCCCCCCTCAAAAAACAACCCATATACTTCATTATCCCTTGCTTGGGGGTAATGGATTTGTCTTTGAGCTTTGAGCAACCCGACAACACAGGGTTATGGTTCATTAGGGCATCCCCCAGTTTTTGGAATCACTGCGAGTGATCCGATCTGCGCGCCTCTGTCTCAAGCCTTTGACTCCTGACGACGATGGCGAGCACGCGGCTCAGAAACTTTGTGGAAACTGGGCAGCCGTTCCAATCCTCCATAGGGTCAAGATATAGACAGCCAGTGGGGGAGCCTTCAACTTGCTGAGATGATGTTTGATTGCTTGTATTATCCGGCCCATGTCGTGTTGGCGTTAAAGGGAATCTATCACTGGACATATGTTCTTTTTTGCAAGGGGACCAGGGGACGAAGCAAATGGAAGGAATGCTTGTTGGCAAGAGGGTACCTCTAGACGATGGCTTGGTTTAGAAATAGTGCTTTGGAGGTCAGGTACTTTACCTTCCCTGTTGAGCGCCTCTTGGGTGGTTCGGTTCCTACCTGGCCATATTGCTATATAAACTGTCAGCACCATCTTGGTAGAGTCAGAAGTCAGGGGTTTTGGGGTTTGGGGCGTTGCTCAAATGATCAGTGCCCGAAACACCCATTGGCCATTTTAGTAGGCGGTTCTACTACTTGATTCAGTTGGGGTTTAGTAAAGCGAGTTAGTAGAGCCAGAGGTCAACGGGTTTTGGGCCTTGCTCAAATCAATCCACCCAAGCAACAAGCCACGAATCAGTGCCGCCCTTTCTCCAGTTTTGTTTGGTGGCTTCCCAAACGGTCGGCCCCAAAAAAGACCGGATCCCTTTTTTTGACCAGCGTCACTGGTTGCAGCTGGGGCTGAGGTTCCTGGACTAGATCGTAAACGAACCTTCGTGATTCTCTCCGGTTTCTTATATTTTGTCAATTGAGTGGCCCGTCTTTTTCGTTGTCCCTTTGGTTTCCCTTCAAAACCACCAAAACCAGGGAAACCTGCAAAAAGAAGAACTACACAACTGCTTGATATCGTTTAGAACTCCTACTTGCATGTTTTGGCATGTTTTCACCGCCGATTTCCATGAACAGCAAGCACCACCAACATAACCGGCAGTGGACATTTCAGTTGAGCCTGTCCTCTTTGAGGCTAGTCTCTTGTTGGGGCGGTTCTAAAACGAAACCAAAGAAGAAGAACCATCCGCCAGTTTGTGGGTCCCACCCCACGTTTGTCGAGGACCAGCTTTCAGGTGACGACCAAAGATCCCTGCCAGTGTGTGGGCCGCCAAGTTTTTTTTCTGCTTCTCTTGTTTTCAGTCACGCCCAGCCCTAGGGAAAACCAGCCCTGGTAACAAAAAAACACCGTTACCACGCCCACGCCCCGCGTGTGTCGAGGCCCAGCCTTCGGACGGTCGCGCATGCTACACTGAGGCCATGCGCCGCCGTCCCCGCTGCTTTCTCCGGGTCGCCAATTCTGCGCTCAGAGCGCCTCGGAGGCAATGGTGTCGATCCCAAGGGAGTCCTCCTTGTTGGTGGATTTAAAGGGCTCCGAGTCTTCAACCGGCTGCGGGGGCTGACCAATCACCTGCAAACCACAGTCAGGCACTACAAACGTCTCGACGGCAGTTTTCCTTGGTGATGCCAAAGTGGGACATCCCCATTAATGTTCACCCCGTATTGATCAACCCCAGTTTATTAATAGGGGGCGTCCCCTCCAAACGTGGTGATTCACTAAAGCCAAAAACAACCCCCTGTTCATAAACTGGGGTTGATTAATACGGGGTCAACATTACCCTTAGCATGGAACCCAACGTTGGGGGGGGGGCATCCCAGAAGACCAATGTCCTTTCAGAGGGACCCCGAAACGTCAGGTTCCATTTACATTGGTTGGAGGGGTGGCACAAAACGGAAGACCCACCGAATTTTGGAGTATGTACCAAACGGAGCACCACCAACTTTGGGTTTTGTTTGGAGTCGATATGTGGCTTAAAATGTGACTCCCCCGGTTGTCATTTTGGGTTCCGTTAAAAACAGCCACCCCAAAAAGGGGTTGCCCCCAACAAAGGCAGATCCAGATTGCACCATCTTCAAGCGGTCACCCGAAGTAGAACTGGTTGAAAGGATTCGGATCACTTGGAGGGGGGGGGGGAGGGGAAACACCCCCCTAATCCGCCAGATAGGTCTGAGCTTTCCTCTTGGCACTTGGTGGGTGCCACGGTGTTGCGTGGGAAGGCTACTTGATGCTTTTGCGGACACGCTCTCATGGACAGAGTCGAGTTTTTGCAGACTCAAAGCCTAAGATGAAGCCAAGCTCTTCGATTTTGAACTCTTGAACTGTCAAAAAAAGAAGAAGGCGCACCCAAAATTGACGGGGGTTCAACAGTCTGTTGAACCCCCGTCAATTTTGGGTGCGCCTTCTTTTTTTGAGGGTACCCCTCTTTGGCGGCGAAGGGAAATCAAAGGGAAACTCCCATTTGGTGGTTGGTCGACTTAAACGCCCACCTATTGTTCACCAAAGGGTCCACAAGTGACCCCAGTGGCCATTTCAGGTGGTTCTACTACCTGGCGTCATAAAGGTTATGGCAATCTCTCCATAAATATTTACAACATCTTAGAAGATCCAACGGTCAATGGGTCTTCGGCGCTACTCAAGTGAACTTGCGCACCCACTTGTCAAATCGTGACTAGCACAGCATATGATCAATTTGGGGAGGGACATGGGACTGCAAACATTTGCCAAGAAGTAGCCATGGCCTCAGAGTTTCCCTTGTCGTCAAGGGTTGCATACTGTCTTTTTGACCGTGGCCGCACCCGGCTTGAGGTCCCCTGCTGACCCATCGAGCCGCGCTGCTGGCCGGACTTGGACGCCCACGTTACATCCTGCCCAGACAGCCACGAACAGCCGCCTTTTTCCACCCCCCCCGAGTCTTTCCCAGCTGAAAGCGTTTTGAGGGTCTCTGCCTAGAAATCGGCTCTGGAGTGGTGAAGGGAGGGGCTGCTGGTGGATTTTTGGAGTCCTGGCAGAACGCCCGCTTTTTCCATGGGTAGATCCCCCGTTTGGTCTTTCTTGTGGGGGGAATCGGTTGGGGGAATCGGTGGCTTCAACCGTTCTTTCGCTTCGCGCGCCAGGGGCTGCCGCAGCCGTCCCCGGTGCCCTTTGGCTCCGACATCTGCGTGTTTCGATGGCTCATATTTGTGGGACTAGCACTCGTCACAGGCCATGGCAATTCGGCCCCGAAAAATTGTGCTTGACACCTCCGTGAAAAACCGCCCCGGGTAGACTCAAGCCCAGCAACCGGGTTCAAGTCTACTTCTGGAGGTTTGCAAAAGCAGATTCCTGGTGTGGCGTGGGCGCTGTTCTCTAGGGTTCTTTTTTTTTTGTCGATTCCCCTTGAGTGAAAACAGAAGGCCCCATTCGCTTTCTGGGGGGGGGTCTAGGGGGCATTCCCCCAGTTTGAGACAGGTAGGTAGATTTCATCTTCGAAACGCACCGAATCGGGGCCCACCACCGCCAGGGGCCAATGATGAGGATGGTTCTGCTACCTGGTTTTACAAAGGCTACAGCAAGGCCTATGTTATAACCCATCTGCTAGTCTTATCTCCATGCAAGTAGAGCCAAAGCTCACCGGGTTTAGGGTCACCCCAGTGAGCTCCCCCCGCTTGCGGGGGGTTGACTGGGCAGCCTAGGCTTCTCGCCCGCCACACCAAGTCGACATCTGACTTGGCCCAGGCGTGTGGGACCAGTGGACCGGTCCGTTCTGGCCGATTTGTTTGCTCCGATTGAGGGAGGCTTCCTTCCGGAACATCGCAAACACTGCAAAACCAGGGAATTGGGGGAGGGCCCCCCAAAAACGAGGGGTACACATTTGGTCGGATCGACCTCTGGATTTCTGGCTTGGCTGAGTGCAAAGATT